TATTTTATATATTTAAATGCCATTTAACAAAGAAAAATCAACCAAAAAAATGAGTTCCTGTGTCACCTCTGACACGTGTGTCATAGGTTCACCATCACTGGCCTACGCCATGCTGCAGGCGGCGTTTTGACCTGCTCCTTCCTTTCTCCCGAGAGGAGGGACTGAGATGTGGAGACGGGAGAGGCTGTCCCAAGTTGCGCTGTAAATATCCTTTGTTTCCAGTTTCGATTGAGATAGGACTGACCTGTCTCACTCAGGCGAGTTCGACGACCATAGTGCACTTGTGAGCTTTGGGGACTGTCTGCCCAGAAGCCCCCGTGCTCCACCGCAGAAGCCAACGGGAAGGGAGTGTGTCCTCCCGTCTCTTCTGGAGGCAGGTGTGGGGCTGGCAGAACTGCACAGTTCTCACTCCCCTACGCAGGTTCCCAGCAGGACCCTGGCCAACACCTGCTGAGGGCGCACCAACCATATTTCTCCAAACACTGCCTTTGCCAGACCCTCCAACACAGTCTTTTCGCCAGACGTTACCTTCTGAAATTGGGGTGTTCTACACGCTTCATGGAATGTGTTTTCCCTCCCCGGTGAAGAGCTGTGGCCATGGTGATGACGCGTCGCTGAGAAAATGCTGTCGTGGTCTTTTCCCACAGTTAGCGGTTCCTTATTTGTAAAGTAGGAAGACGCAGTTCTGTGTGAGCCCCAACCCAGGGTCCTGTGGCTGCTCCCTGGAATGCTGCCCCCTGGAATGTAATGTCTGCTCTTAGACAGTGGCTGGCTGCATCAGCGAACCCCCTTTTTTCATGCATTTGCTCATTCATTGATTCATCCCTTCTTTGCACAGATACCTACCAAGCACCTACCATGGACCGATGAGGAGGTGGTGGAGGGGGTCGGGCTGGGACAGTGCTGACCTGGCCTGGGAGGGGCAGGAAGGATGAGAGAAGTGGACAGACTGGAGGGGCGCACGCGTGGCACAGGACACCAGGGCGTGCGTGCCCACCGTTAGACAGAGCAGCTCCTCACGGGGACGGAGTCTCCACAGACACCCCACCACCATGTAGAGCAGGGCCAGGTGCATCGCCACGCCCTGCTCTGAGGACCACGTGGCTCCCCAGCGCCCGCAGCTGCGTGTGACGGTCCCCCAGCCTTCTCCACCGCTGCCCTGGCCCCCCGGGGACACGGGGCTTTGGGAGACCGACGGAACCACGTCCAGTCCGCCACAGGCATGAACCACGTGCGGGCCCCACGCCAGCCTCCACGGTGTTTCCCTTGGACAGACGTCTCCTTTCCATCCGCCACAGGCTGGGGTCTTGAAAACTGCTGACGGAGCGTTCTCTCGTTCCTGCTGGAGGCTTGGGCTGTGTCCGTGTGATGTGGCTCCGTCTCCCCTCCCTCCCCCCAGCCCCCACACTGACTCACTTCCTCCCAGGTTTCCAGTCCTCCTCACCCTGAGCGCTGCTTCCTTTTATCGTCTAGGAAGAGGCACGTGGGATTTCCGGTTTACAGGGACAGTGTCTGTGGTCGGACGTGGCGGGGCATGCCTCTGCTCCTGCCGCTGCAGACAGCCTGGGGCTGGGGTCCCCGGGGAGGGGCTGGGGTCTCCGGAGAGGGGCTGGTCTGCCGTAAAGCCTGTGGTTGCCAATGTGACAGTCCCCTGGATAGAAGCAGCGTGTGGCCTGTGAACCTGGGCACACTGAGACCAAAAGCAGAATAGCTCCCAGGCCTCTGATCGCCCGTCCTTGGGAACAGCGGGCCCCGCAGAATAGCTCCCAGGCCTCTGATCGCCCGTCCTTGCTGTTACAGCGGGCCCCGTTGGTTGGATGATAAAGAAAATGAAGTGAGACCGGGTCTGGCGAAAAGAGAGGATGAATGTCAGAGTCCCGCCCAGCGTGTTCACCATGATCACCACAGGAGGCTAAATGAATGCAGATGTAAATTCATTACAATTAACGTGAAATTAGCAGTTGAGTTCCTCAGTGGCAGGAGCCACATTTCACGTGCTCAGTAGCCCCTGGGGACTGGTGGCACCGTCAAGGTCAGCGGAGGTAGGACGTGTCCATCGTGACAGACAGTTCTATGGGACAGCCCAGCGCCGGCCACCGAGGGGGCTCGGATAGCTGAGTTTTGCCAATCATTACACACAGCCTCACCGTGGAATGTTATTCAGCCGTAAAAGGGAAGGACATTCCAACACGTGATACAACGTGGATGAACCTTGAAGACACGCCAAGTCACAAAGAACAGAGCCTGGGGGATCCCACTCACTCGCGACCGAGAATAGATGCTGGAGACGAAGTGGAAGGGTGGCGGCCAGGGGCTGGGTTTCATGGATAGAGAGCTTCAGTTTGGAGTGAGGAAGAGGTTCTGAGATGATGGTGCTGACAGCTGCATAACAGTGTGAATGTACGTAACACCGCTTAACACGTTAGATGGTTGAGGGCATGAATTTTATGTTTTGGATACTTAACAGTACAAAACCCACCCAACCTCACAAACGACTCAAACTTGTTCCCAAATAACTTTCCGAAGAAGAAATCTATTCTCCACAATATACAGTACAGATGATGTGTTGTAGAATTGTCCACCTGAAACTGAGATCATTTTATTAACCAATGTCAGCCCAATACATTCAATTAAAAAATATAGATTTGTTATGGGCAGAGCGCAAGGTGATTTCTCCTTGAGCCCCTGGGATGTCCCGGAGAGTTCCCCCAGCATTCACTGCCGCAGCACCCTGCCAGCGGGCTGTGTGCCTCACCCTTCGGATGGGATCCGGCCAAGGACACGCTGGCATGAGGAGGCACCGGGTGAAGCTCGGGGCCGTCTGGCTCCCGGGGTAGAATCGCTGTGGTTAGACGCTGCAGCATTAACCCAGGTCTGCTGCCTCAAATTAACCAGTAACACTTCTGCCCTTCAGGCCACACTTCTGTGGGGAAAAGCAAGTCAGGACAAGGCCTGAGAGTAAAAGTTCGCTTTCATGGTGCTCCGTGTTGGCAAACATCGTCTTCAGTAAAATTAAGACGGGAAAAGAAGATAGTGTTAGACAAATCCTTCAAACACTCCAGCAGAGACCGGTTTATCACCCTGCTGCTCACCTGTGCGTGGAATAGTGAACGTTCCTTATTTCAAGCCAATTTTTCATGTTCACGTGACTCCAAAACTGTTTAAGAGCGTGGTCCTGGGGAAAGAGAAGGGCATTTAGATAAGGTACTTGAACTGGCTAGATTCCCACTGGGCCGTGTGACCTGAGGCAGTTCACTGTCCCTCTCTGCTCCCCAGTCTCCCCATCTGTGACACGGGGATCATACATTTATTTCACAGGGTTATGAAGGTCAGAGAGAGCCACGTACGTGTAGGAGAAGGCTTGTTAACAGTCAGCTGCCAGTCAGATGTCAGTAGGGATTGCTCATTATTATTCAAGACTAGAGGCCTGGTGCATGAAAATTTGTGCATTGGGGGTGGGGGAGGGGAATGCTCCCCTGGGGATCAGACCTAAGCTGGCAGTCAGACATTACTCTGGCAGCCCAGGGGGAGCGGGCCTAAGCTGTTAGTCGGACATCCTTAGCACTGCCACCACTGCTGTGCTGGCCAGCCAGGAGCCAGCTTCTGGCTGAGCAGTACTCCTGCTGTGGAAGCGCACTGACCACCAGGGGTCAGCTCCTGCATTGAGCATCTGCCCCCTGGTGGTCAGTATGCGCCATAGCGACTGGTTGTTCCGCTGTTGGGGTCAATTTGCATATTACCCTTTTATTATATAGGATAGGATTAGTAATACAAATGTTATTAATCAGGGGTACTTGGCAAACATCTCCTAAAGCTGCCCCCCCCACCCCCCCAATTTTACTCAGTTGCATTCATTGCTTTAGTCGGTTTTTATTGAGTGCCCAGTATGTGCTGGTGTTGAAAAGTCAGGTCGGGTTAGGATATGCTGCTATGATAAACAGCCTCACTGTGCAATAACAGTAAAAAATGTTTATTTCTCACTCGGGCTACATGTCCATCAAAGGTTGTTGGGACCCTCCAGGACCCGCACAGGCAGAGAAGCCACTGTCTGGAGTGTGGCCAGTCGCCAGGGCAGAAGGAAGTGGACAGTGGTGAATCACGCACCATTCACGGCTCTTCCGCCCGGAGTGACACCTGTCTCGGCTGCTCACATTTACTTGACGACATCCCACTTCAAGGGGGTGGGGACGTTCACATCTGCCAGGTGCTCAGGAGAAGGAGGACCAGATACCTGATGGCAGCGCTAATGACCCCGCAGCCCGGCTTTAACCTAGAAGTCACCCTGCAAGTTGGTGTCACTTCCCCGGGACCCCGAGCAGCGATCTCTGCGATTTTGTAGATCAGATCAGATCTTTCCCATTCATTCCTTCAAAGGTCAGAGAGGCGGCTCTTGCGCTCTGAGAGGTTTTTGTTTCGGGGCCTCTGTTTCCGTTCCTCCTCTGTCCCACGGCAGCCCACGCCTTCCTCTCGCCGTGCTTTCGACACCACCCTGTAATGGCCCGTTTCCTCTTCAGCCGCCTCTTTAATTGCTATACGCTCCGGGCCAGCAGCGCCGGGCACAGAGCTGTCTGTAGAGCCAACCTGGGGAACTCTCAGTGGGGCGGGGGGGTGTCATGATTGGGTCTCAGTGGCTTGGTCTTGAACACCACCCAGCAATTCTTAGGAATCAGGATGGCCCACCGTCCATGGACTTCTGGTGGCGCCAGGGGTGTGGTCACATTTCAGGTGCTGTGGCCGGAGACCCCTGGGAGAACCTAGAGTGGCCACGCCCAGCTCTGAGCCTTCACAGGTCGGGCAGCTGTGGGCGTGAGGAATGGCTTCATGGAAACCCTCTGTCCCCTTGACACAGACTTACCCTGTTAGTGTGGCTTCTGAAACGATGAACAGTGAGCTTTAGGATGTCAGATAATTCATTCCTTTAGGATGTCCAGTCTCACATGCCAGATAATTCCGTCAGAGGTGCACACATCATATATTTTGGTGTTTTTCTCCCTTGACAGATGCAGATGTTGGACAAATTTCCCATGGAAGGAGGACAGAAGGACCCCAAACAGCGGATCATCCCCTTCCTGCCAGGTAGGTGAGACGCAAACCCTGAGACAGGGCCTGCGGGGGATCCAGCGTTGCTCCCGGATCTCTCGGCGCGTCCTCCTTGAGGCACTGTCCCAGGGACCAGACACCTCACCTCTGGGAGCCTCAGTTTCTCCTACCTCTAAAATGGGAATAATTAAGCTTGTGAAGTTTTAAAATGAGTGGCCTCTCTTATGGCTACTGTATCATTTTTCTGTTGTTCCTTAACAAATTGCCACCAATTTAGCAGCTTAAAATGGCACCCACTCATTATCTCACAGTTCTTTCGGTCGGAAGTTCCAGAGGCCTCCCCTGGGTACTCTGTTTTAGGGTCTCACAAGGCAAAATCAAGGTCTTGTCCGGGCCCAGGTCTTATCTGGAGGATCGGGGGCAGAATTCAGGTCCTGCCGCTCCAGGACTGAGGTGCCGGTGTCCTTGCTCGTGTCAGCCAGGCTGCCTGCATCCCCGCTCTGTGGCCCCTCCATCCTCAGGCCGGCAGTGAGGCATCGAGTCTCTCTTGGCTTTAAATGTCTCCGACTGCCCCGGCTGCCCCAACCCCGCCCCCCCCTCCCGCAGGGGGAGCTGCCTGCTTGGAGGGACTCGTGATTGCGTCGTCCCCACCTGACTGACGCAGGATAATCTTGTAAAGAAACGGTGGCCTGTAGAGATCCCATCATAGTCACAGGCTCAGGGGTCAGGGTGGGCCATGTTGGGAGGAGGGGAGCATTATAGAAATTCCACTTGCCTACCTACCACGGACTTTCTGAGTGCCGGGCACCAATCCAAGCACTGGGGAGGAGTTAATGTAATAAAGGCATTCATGTCCCTTTCCTCCTAAAAAATTTCTTACCAAAGGAGAAGGGTCCTGGGTTCGATTCCAGACAGGGGCACATACCTCGGTTGCAGGCTCCTCCCTGGCTCTGGTCGGGACACGTGCAGGAGGCAACCAATCGATGTGTCTCTCTCACATGGATGTTTCTCTCTGTCTTTCCTTCTCTCTTCCACTCTCTCTAAAAATCAATGGGAAATGTCCTTGGGTGAGGATTAACAAAAGAAAAGAAAGTAGGTTACACCCAAGCCAGTGTTATTGTCTCAGTAGCTACCCCTGGTTGGATGTCTGCTGTGCCAGGCGCTGGGCTAAGCACTTTACATTCATTACTTCATTTCGTCCTCAGAGCAACCTGGCAGGGTGGGCACTGCGTGCCCGTTATCAGCTGCACACACCGAGGCTCTGCCCCTCTGTTATCTCGGGTGAACTACCTCCGCACACCAAGTTCCATTTCTTCCTTTGCACATGGAGATAATCATGGCACCTCAGTAACAGTTGTTACGAGGGTGAGATGCGAGCCTGGCACAGACCTGGCAGCAATCGGCACTCACCGTCATTTTTATGTACAGACCTTCAGCAAGTTGACACCACCCGAAATCACACGTACTTCGAGCTGAAGGGACCCTTCCGATCCTCCTCATGTTGCAGAAGAGGGAGCAGGCCCCACAGTGGGGTAAACTCCCGGGTCACCCAGGTGCCCAGCCCCACCCCCCCAGGGTCCTGCTGTGGGCACAGGAGTGGGTTCTCCCAGATGCCGTCATGTCGAGTGGGCTTAGAGGCTGGGCAGAGGCGTTTGCCAGACCCCGTCCACTGGGAGGATCATGTGCCTGGAACAGCGAATGTTTTCCTTCCTCCATGGGGAGAGTGTGCAATCACACTGGAATTTTCTTTCCTGTTGGAGGAACCCGGAGTGCCAGCTGCAGCAGCCAAGAGTCCGGGCTCCAGCCCTGTGACAGGCGGACGACTCCCACCCCAGTCCCCGCTGGGCCTCGGGGTCCCCATCCATAAAACGGGGCGTGCCCCCTGCCTCACAGCTTCTCTCCCGGACACAGTGGGCTCTCAGTAAAGGCAGAAACAGGGTCCCATGACATTCCTTCGGAATTTCTTGGTATTTCTTATCTTGGAGGCGTTCCTCTTAAATGCTCAGCCTGAACACTCAAGTTGAACTGGGCTCTGAATGTAGGTTTTTCTCGCCCCAGCCAGTGTGGCTCAGTGGAGAGAGCGTTGGCCCGTGGACTGAAGGATCCCAGGTTCCATTCTGGTCAAGGGCATGTGTCTTGGTTTGCAGGCTCGGTCCCCAGCCCTGGTCCGGCGCGTGCAGGAGGCAGCCAGTCGATGTGTCTCTCACACTGATGTTTCTCTCTGTCTCTCCCCCTCCCTTCCACTCTCTCTAAATATCAGTGGAAAAATATCCTCGGGTGAGGATTAACAACAACAAAAAATTAAATGTAGGTTTCTCTCCAGAGCAGTGAGTTATAAGTCTAACTGTCGGATGAAAGGCCAAACCAGCTCTGGAAAAGCTTCCCAGGATGGGAGAGAACGTGAGCCCACCCTCCCCCAAGCCCTGAAAGCTTTCGTGCTTACGTAATTCTCTTCCACCCACGAATTCATGAAAATGCTGCTCTCAGGGCCTCGGCCCCGTGTCCCTGCTCACGGCACCCACTGCAGCTTGGAGAGGTCCCGCTGGGCCCCAGGACGCCAGGGGCTTCCCTTCCCAGGCCACCTCTTCGCTTTTCCTTGACGCCCGCCCGCCGGGGCCGAGGGCAGGGACCTGCGGGGAGGCGGCCCGCTCCTAGGGGTCACTTTCCTGCCCAGCCCGCCACGTCAGCACAACAAAGCAAGTCTCCCGTGAGCACAAAGGCAGGGGGAGGGGAGCCGCCCTGTTCAGTCCTCCTCCCCGGCCAGAGCTAGGCCGGCCAACTTGGCAGAGGACGCAGCTTGAAAATTAAAAATTACAGTCTGGCCCGCTCCACCACGGAAAACAAAAGGCTGTTCTCTGCCCAGCACCCCGTGGGCCCCAGGCGGGCTGGCCTGCAGCGAGGGAGGGGTGCACATTCACCCTCTTCCCCGTGACTCAGCCCAGAAACACATCACATCAGATGCAGACAAGGGATCCGGCCCCCTCAGCCTTTCACCCGGGAGGTACCAGCCACGGACGTGCTGGTCACGGCCCTGCCCTGCGCCCGGCCCGAGCGGGAACTCCAGCTCTGCTGCCCATCCATGGCGACCTAGCCGGCGGGTGGCAGGTCTTAAGAAACAGAGCTGGGGCCCTAGCCGGTTTGGCTCAGTGGATAGCGCGTCGGCCTGCGGACTGAACGGTCCCAGGTTCAATTCCAGTCAAGGGCACATACCTAGGTTGCAGGCTCCATCCCTGGCCCTGGTCAGGGCTCATGCGGGAGGCAACCAATCCATGGGTCTCTTCTCAGATCAATGTTTCTCTCTCTCTGTCTCTCCCCCTCCCTTCCACTCTCTTTAAAAATCAATGGAAAAATATCCTTAGGTAGGATTAACAGGAAAAAAAAAACACAAGAAACAGAAGAAAAGAAACAGCTGGGTGCAGAGTATAATGCAGTATCATCTAAAACAGTGGCTCTCAACCTTGGCTGCACATTAGAATCACCTGGGAATCTTTTTAAAATCCTGATTTCTGGGTCTCATCCTCCGGAAATTCTGTTTCTTTGTTATGGAGTGGGAATCAGGATTTTAAAAAGATTCCCAGGTGATTGTAATGTGCAGCCAAGGTTGAGAACCACTGATCTAAAAGGTTTGAAGAAACCAGAGAGTCACGACCCTCCTGTGAGGGGCTAAGCCCTGCGCTGGGCTGTAATGGAGGTTGTCACCGTGAAGAGATGCGGCTGCCCATTTCCCAGGGCAGCACGATCGGCACGAGGCTCCCCGTCTCCCTCGCTGGCCGCACACCTGACATGTGCCCAGAGACTCCCGTCCCACGGCCGCTGCACAGGGAGAGGAGTGAGGCCTCTGTCGTGTCACACACCCCCTCCCGGGGACATGGCGGAGCCTGCGCCTCTGTCCTTAGCTGGCAGCCCCACGGTGAGGACACAAAGTCGGTCCCTATTGGTGCAGAGCCCACACCTGCTAGGGAAGAAGACATAAATCAATAGCCTGATGTGTGCCGTCAGAAATGGCGGGAGCTCTCAACCCAGTGAAGTGGCCCCAGTTTCCCCCCGGCGATGGTGGGTGAGGTTGGAATTTCCAGGCAGAGGGAAGGGGCAGAATCATGAGACAGCGTGGCGTGCTGGGCACGTAGATGAGAGCAGAAAGCAGGTGGAGGAGCAGGAGGAGGAAGGAGCCTGAGCTGTTGGGTTAGGGCTTAGCTGCGGTTCGCTGCACTGCCCAGGCAGCCTGAGAATCCCAGCGCTGGGCAGAGGACCTCAGGCCCTCCGGTCTACCTTCCTTCTCCACCGGGCAGGAGCGCCTTCCTTCCACGGATTGGTCCCCGCCTCCTTTAACTCATCGGAACATTCCACCGGGCCCCCCTCCCCCAGCCTTTGCACTAGAACTTGAGCCGGGCTTTGGGGGACCACGCCTGGGGTCATCAGGCCCAGTGGGTACCCAGCAGGGGGCAGTGATGACAGCCAGGGGTTTGGGTACCACTCTGGCCTACCAGAGGCACGCACCTCACACCCTCCAGTTTGCCGCGAGCTGGTCACCGCTCCCTGCCAATGCCGTGTGTGCTCTCATTCTCTGCAGGCAAAATCCTCATTCCGACGGAGTCACATCCGGGAACGTGGCCGTCAAACGCCTGATACCCATCGATGAATACTGCAAGGTAAGCCCGAGAGCTGCCACTTCCCCTGCTCGCGTCTGCCTGCGGGCAGGTTTTTTTCTTTTCCTTTCCTGGCTCTAAGATGCTCATTGTGAAAATCTGTACAGTTGAAAGGAATGTAAAGAAATTAGAAAAAAACAACCATCTGTGATCTTTCAACTCAGAGGCAACAAGGATGAAGGTTTGTCCATATTTTCAGAGCACATGCCCAGGTTGTAGGCTTGATTCCCAGTAGGGGGTGTGCAGGAGGCAGCTAATCATTGATTCTCTCTCATCATGGATGTTTCTATCCCTTTCTCCCTCTCCCTTCCTCTCTCTGAAATCAATAAAAACATATTTTTTTAAAAAGAAAATAATTCTACTCACAGTAACATCGAAAAGAATAAGCTACTTAGGAAAAAATTAACAGAAGAAGTTCGAGGTTTGTACACTGAAATTATAAAACATTGCTGAGCAGAAGAAGCTCTGAATGAATGGAGAGACGTGCCATAATATGGAATAGAAGTCTCAGTAGTGTTAAAATGGCAATTCTCCCCAATTGCTCTACAGAGTCAATACAATCGCTGTAAAAAATCCTAGTAGATGTTTTTTGTAGAAATTAACAAATTGATCCTGAAGTGTATGGGGAAATGCAAGGGCCCCAAAATAGCAAAAACAATTTTGAAAAAGAAGAACAAGCCCGGCCAGCGTGGCTCAGTGGTTGAGTGTCGACCTGTGAACCAGGAGGTCACAGTTCGATTCTCGGTCAGGGCACATGCCCGGGTTGCGGGCTCGACCCCCAGTGTGGGGCGTGCAGGAGGCAGCCCATCAATGATTCTCTCATCATTGATGTTTCTATCTCTCCCTCTCCCTTCCTCTCTGAAATCAATAAAAATACATTTTTTAAAAAGTAAGAACGAAATTGGAGGCCTAAACGTCCTACAAAGCCGCAGTAATCAAGACAGTGTGGTGCTGTCAGAAGGATCACACAGGTCAGTGGAACAGAATTGAGAGTCTAAATTCTTACAAATTTATAGGCAACTGGTTTGCAACAAAGGCACCACGAAATTCAATAGGAAAGAATAATCTTAACAGTGTGGGTTAATGCGATATCCATATGCAAAAAAGCAGGAAGTTGGACCCTTACCTCACATCATGCAGACAGCATCAACTCGCACTGGGTCACACACCTAAACATAAGAGCGAAAACTATAAAACTTCTGGAAGGAAACCTTCGTGACCTTAGTTTAGGCAAAGAGTTCTTAGATGTGACACCAAAAGACAAAAATGGATAAACTTGCAAACTTCTGTACTTCAATACCATGAAGCAAATGGAAAGATGTGCCACAAGTTAGGAGAAAATGTTTACAAATGCTATTATCTGATAAGGGACTTGTATTGAGACAATATAAGGAACTCTTGCAACTCCGTAATAAAAAGACAACCCAGCTTATAAATGGACAAAAGCCTTGAATAGAAGGAAGCTATCCAGTGGTTAATAAGCACGAGAAAAGGGGTTCCGCATCATTAGTCATTCGGGCAGCGCAAAATAAAACCATGGGAGATACCTGCACAGCCACTAGACGGGCCGTAATCAGCAAGACAGACAAGACCGGGAGTGACTGAGGCGCAGAAACTGGAGCCCTCGTTCTGTGGGAAGCCGCTTTGAAAAACAGCTTGGCAGTTTCTTCAGAAGGAAATTTATCACGTGACCCCCCCAGGTGTATCCTCCAGAGAAAGAAAAACTTATATCCCCATGGAGACTTGGATGCAGATGTTCCCAGCTGTATTAATTCCTGATAACCCACAGCTGGATGCAATCCAAATGCCCATCATTAGGTGACTAGATAAAACGCAGTGAAATACTGGTAAAATGTTGCAACGTGGGTGAGTCTCAAAAAACATGACGCTCAGTGGGAAAAGCCAGCTGCAGGAAAGTGCAAAGTGTATGACTTCATTCATGTGAAATGTGCAGAAAAGTCAAAATGGGTGAGACGAGAGAGAGCGATCGGTGGTTTCCTGGGCTGGGCGGTGGAAGTGGAGACCCGTTGTGAATGAGGTTGGGGGGAGTTTTTGAGGTGATGGAAGGTCCTGAAACTAGACTGTGGTGATGGTTGCACAACTCTGTAATTTACTAAATATCACTGAATTTAGTGTGCTTATAGCGGGTGATTTTTATGGTACATAAATTATACTTGAATTGGGGCTCAGCCCATCTGGTTTCCCAAATGACCTAATAAATTTGTAATCCCTTACCAAAAAATTTTTTTTAAAATAAATGATAATAAAAATTTTTTAAATGTGAAGGGGGGCAGGGAGGGGATCGATCCCCTCTCGTGGCCAGAGGCGTCGAGGGAGGGTAGACAATCACTCTCGATTGCCCATCTGCTCTTTGCCAGCACGACCTGGTTTCATCTCTCCGGAACCTGGACAGGTAGGTTTTATTGTTCCATCGCGTAGATGAGGACACGGAGGCCCAGCAGAGTTACTCACAGTCACAGTATTGGCGGTTTGGGCGATGAATCGGGCCTTTTAGGCCTTAGCACTTGCATACCACTCTCGGCCTCTCTAGAAAGTGAAAATTCAAGAGGCCAAAATATTTAAGCATGTATTTTATAGAGGTCCATGCGCTCCAACTCCACTCTCCTTGGGAAGGGGTGGGGGTGGGGGAGAGGGACAGGGACAGTCACTCGGGTGCAAGGACACTCCTCCTCCCAGCTCTCAGAGGCAAGTTCCCCTCTTTTCGTCTTTGGACCCTGGGGTCACCTTGACCAGCTGGGAAGCTCCAGCTGGTACCCTCCCCCGAAACTGGTCTCCGAGCCCAGCGTGCACTCTCCTGCTGCTCCCCCAGCCCACCCAGCTTCTCTCCGGAGTCCCGGTTCCCTCACCCAGGGCGTCAGGAGCTCCGGACATTTGATTTGGGAAAGGAAGTGTAGAATCCGGAAGCGGTGAGGGATAGCAGCAGCTGCCTGCGTCGGACTGATGCTGGGGCCCTGGGGCCCGACCGAGATCACGAATTCGCCAGGACCCACCGCAGGGAAGAAACTGCTGTTCTGAGAGCCACGTGGAAGTTACCGCCCCCGGCTGTTGATGCCGTGGAAGAGGCAGGGCCGATATTTTGGGATTTTGGTTTTGGCCAAATTCCCTGGGCTTGGCTGCAAGGGAACTGCCCTCCTGGAAGGAGGTGAAACTGTCCCTTTTGTCACAAGGTCTGCGAAGTCTGCATTAGCTTTCCCATAGCATTTGGTATCTGTTAATGCCATTGCTGTCGGCTGACTGAAGCCAACTCCATCTGTCACCGTTGCCTTCATTGACTAGAAGTGGGCGGGCTCCGGTAGGTCAAGGTGGATGAGGGCCGTAGATGTCCCAAGAGCCAGCTGCCGGGTGTAGTCACAGTGGAAGAAACTCTCTGCTCCACCAGACCCATTAGGAAGTCACGGTAATTAACAGCGTGGTGTGGGCACACGGAAAGGTAAACCAATGGAGCAAAATGGAAAACCCAGCTCAGCTGGTGTGGCTCAGTGGTTGGGCATCCACCTATGAACCAGGAGGGATGGGGCATGCGGGTGGCCTCCGATCCATGATTCTCTCATCGTTTATGTTTCTATCTCTCCCTCCCTCTCTAAAAATAAAAATAATAATAATAATAATCTGTTGTTTTCTTTTAAAAAAAGGAGGACCCAGAGGGAGACCCATGTGTGTTTGGACACTTTGATACTGACCAAGGCAGCCTTGCAGTCACTGAGGAGAGGTTGGGCGCCTTAGTAAATGGGCCTCCACACGAGAAAAAAACAAAACAAAGAACTAACCTCTCCCTCACCCCACACATGTAATTCCAAGGAAATGAAAGACCTGCCTGTGAGAGGCAGTGCCAGAAAAGGTTCTGAAGGATTAAAGTAGGGAGATGGCCTCATAATCTCTAGGTACAGAAGGATTTCTAAAGACACAAAAAGCACCCACCGCAAAATGATTGACTTCTTTGACTCCATTAAATTTAAGAACCTCTGTTCATCAAAAAGCCATGAGAACAAGACTCGGCCAGATCCTGCCGCACCTGCAAGCATTTACCCTCCAGCAGCAGCCTGGACAGCCCCTCCGGCGGTTCTGTAAGCGCGACCTACCCGCTGCCTGTCTGACACGGCTTCGCATGGACGTTTCCTGGCGACAGACGCAGTGACATGCTTGTGGCAGGATCGGGGAATCCTGACCGAGGTCCGACAGGGAGACCTCAAGCAGAGGCAGAACTCGGAGGATTCGGGGTCCTAGACCCGGGGCAGCAGCCTGCGGGGCGTGCGCTGCTGGGCTCGCCACGTTCTGGCCATGCCAGGGCCAGAGCATCTGAGACTAGTTCCAGGACACCCCTCCTTTCGCCAGCGAAGAAAATCACTTCTAACAGCTGTGCTGCTGGTGAAGGAAGGCTCTGAAGGAGACCTTTCCGAAGTGAGGACTTGTGGTGGGAGTCTTACTTGCTAACGTGCTCATTCCCAATGAGGGGACTGCAGCATTAACTAGCCATCACTAGGGTGCAGCTTAAAGCTCTCTCTCTCACACACTCACACACACACACACACACACACATGATTGTATGCCCATGCCTTAGTATTTTGATGATTTTTTTTTCTAATTTCAGAGAGAGGAAAGGAGAGGGAGAAAGAGAAAGAAACATCAGTATGAGAGAGAATCATTGATTGGCGGTGCCTCCTGCATGCCCCACACTGGGGATCGAGCCCACAACCTGGGCAAGTGTCCTGACCGGGAATCAAGCAGTGACCTCTCCTGATTCATAGGTCAACGCTCAACGACTAACCACGCCGGCCAGGCTGTCATAGTATTTTAAAGTAAACTATAGCCAATAGAATAGTGTTTATCAGACTCCGGTCACTTGAGACCTCCTTTCAAGATTTTTACCATATGCTACCACCTGTCTTATTATTTTTCTTTACGTGAACTCACTTTTTTAACTTCTTACAAAATATGTCTTTTAGAGGACATTTTATGTTAGGACCGTAAGAGAAAACTGGTGTCATGAGCCGTAAAAGTAGGCAGAAATAAAAATGAAACCATAGGAACAAAAGTTTTCGAATCCAGCCCCCTGCTGTTGCCGCGGCTCTAGCGCCTGGTCCTGCTCTAGGGCAGCGAGTAGGAGCGGTGTTTTCTCCTGGGGATTTGACGGTTCCAGGTCTCATGTTTAAGTCTGCCGTCCACGCTGAGGTGTTTTTGTGGGTGTGGTATAAAACGGGGGCCCAGTTTTACTCTTCTCTGTGGACGTCCAGTTCCCACACCATTTGTTGCAGAGACTGGCCTCACCCATATGTCTTCCTGGTGCCTTTGTTAACGATCTGTTGAGCATATGCATGGATTTACTTCTGGGCTCTTGGCGGTGATTTTGTGGATGTGATAGCAGCAGTACAGGCAACAAAAATAAAAACAAACAAGTTGGGACTCCATCAAACTAACAGGCTCTGCACAGCAAAGGAAGCCATCAGCAGTGACAGGGCAGCCTGTGGAATGGGAGAGAGCCCTTCTACATCTGATAAGGCATTCATCTCTTAAGATGTCTAAGGAACTCCTTCTACATCTCAGCAGCACAAACACTAACCTCTGGATTAAAAAATGGACTAAAGAATCAAATAGACATTCTCACTGAGAAGGTATACAAGTGGCCAGCAGGTACCCACACCTGAACATGAGAAAGCTCCGTGCCACCGGTCATCTGGAAAATGTAAATCAATAGCACAATGACTTGTGACCTCACACCTGTTAGAATGGCTGTCTCTAAAGTGTTGGTGAGCACATGGGGAGACTGGAGCCCTTGCTCACACTGTTGGCGGGAACGCACCGCGGTACAGCTGCTATGAAAAACAGGACGGAGGTGCCTCCGAAAGTTAAAAGTAGACTCCCCGACAGCCCAGCAATCCCACTTCTGGCTGTTTATCCAAAGGAACTGAAATCAGCGTCTGGAGGAGAAACTGTTTGCTGAGGGCGATGCTTAAAGGTCCGACAGATCCGGCTCCTGATTCTGGCTCGGCCGTGCCCACTGCCTGTGGCTCTCGGTGAGCTCATTGTAGCATTGTCCCCTACAGCCAGGATGTGTGCATGCACTCACATACTGCGCAGCCTTTAAAATGAAGGAAATTCTACCCTGGCCGGGTGGTTCAGTTGCTTGAAGCATCGTCCTGTACACCGAAAGGTCTCGGGTTCGATTCCTGGTCAGGGCACATACCCAGACTTCCGGTTCCATGATCCCTGGTCGAGGCACCTATGGGAAGCAGCTGATCCAATCGATGTTTATCTCTCACATCAGTGTTTCTCTCTCCCTCTCCCTTCTCCCTTCCTCTCTCTCTAAAATCAATGGAAACATATCCTTGGATGAGGATGAAATAATAACAGTAATTTTTTTTTTAAAGAGAAGGGAATCCTGCCACATGTGACAACATGGGTGGCTCTTGAGGACATTATGCTGAGTGAAATGAGCCAGTCACAGAAACACAAATGCTGTGGGACTCTGCTTGTCTGTGGTTTCTAAAAGAGTCAGATTCATAGAATGTGAGAGTGGAATGTGGGTGGGGGCTCAGGGAGGGGACAACGGGAGTTACTGACCAACAGGCCTAGCGCTTCAGGCAGCAAGATGAATAAGCTTAGAGCTTTTCCGTACAACAGCCAACAACACAGGGCTGTGTACTTGAAAATTTGTTAAGAGGGTAGATCTCAGGTGAAGTGCTCTTGCCCCAATAGAGTAAGATTTTCGGCTGTAAAGAGAGAGCAGTGCGAACTATCTGGGGCATTCCTTTTGAAGTTAAAGAGGATCGAGAGGGCCCTGGCCTCGTTCTTTAACACAATCATCTCGCTGACTCGAGGGCCATCCCTGGAAATCACCACATGCCGTACTTGCTACAGTACAGAAAGCCAGAGTGTTAACGGACTGTTCACCGAGCAGCCTGCGTATGATAGCATCCTTACCGCCACTTCCTCACCTGATCTAGCACAGCCCCCTGAGATGGCCTAGTTCTTTCCATTTTACAGATGAGCACACTGAGGTCAGAGAGGCGCTGGGAATGGCCAGAGCCAGGATCAGGCGCTGGATCTGTCTGACCTTTCGTATCACCCTCGGCCAGTAAGACTTGTTCTCCTCTCCTCCCTGCACCGACCAGCCACCTCTGCCCGCGGGGCCAGCATCCCACCCAGGACAGAGCGTTTCCCTGGGAACGGTGGTGGTTCGCTGACCAACCACAAGACAGAAGCAGAATTATTTCCCTGCCCCGGGTCATGTTTTTCTGTCGGCCTGTCCTTCCAGCATGGAAGGGGCACATCAAAGCCCTCAGTGCTGCCTTGCATTAGTGACTTGGCCGATTTTATGGTTTGGGGGTTTGGTTTGGCTTTGACTTCCTAGGAATTGCTCAAAACCAAAAGAGAACTTGGCGCTGTTGGGAGGTTTCCGTGGGCCTCGCTGTGCCATTCAGGGCCTCCGCCTGTTTCAGCCAGGAGCACCCTGGGAGGCCCCCTCTGGGCGGCGACCATGGCCACCTCAGGGCCCACCCAGCTGGCCCCAAACAGGGCCGCATGGCCACATCCGGGCCTCTTCCCCATGTCATTTATCCAGTCGATTCTTTCGGCCAGGTATCAGGGTCTCCCCAGCAGTGTCTGGACATGTAGGGGAGTGTGAGGAGCAGCCACATGCCCCTGCCCTCTGTGGACTTGGGGTAGGAGTCCTGGGCAGGTCCCCAGAGCCTCCATTTCCCCGTCTCTAAAATGGGCCAGCCCTCCCAGGAGCTCATGAAGCAGCACAGGCGACCGCATTTCAGGGCCACCGAGTGCTGAGCCAACGTAAAGGATGTTGTTACTGCTGTCTGGGGGCAGCCCCACGATTTCTGCCCACAAAGCAGCCGGGACGCACCCCAGTCCAGGGTGTAATCAGCACCTTCATTATGTGGCTCCGACTGCAAGGGCTGCAGGATTTCAGAGGACAGACACCCCCGGGGCCTGGGATGCAGCTCAACCTCAGCGGGAGAGTGAACACAGGCTGCTCTGAGCCAGAAAGAGAGGGGGTCGGAAGCCGGAGGCCGTCAGAAGGGGGGCAGTTAGGAGGGGGGCACAAGGGGGGGCAGGTAGGAGGGGGTCAGAAGCTCTCTCCCTCTTGGGCTCTCCCCCGCTGGCCTGGAAAAGCTGGGTGCCTGGGGGTTTGCTGCAGAACAGGAATCACTAAGAAGTTAATAAAATAAGTGAATGAGCCACACATACCGGGTCCGCATCCTTCACTCCAGGATTGAGTCCACAGTGACCAGGGAAGGCACCCCCCTAAAACATGTCCCCCCAGCTCACAGGTTTTCCCACTTGAGGTCTGGGGCAGATCACACATGGAGGTAGGAGGGGCTTAAATTCAGAGCCTGACTCAAAGGTCATATGGGGTCAGCAACCCAAAGTGTGATATATCCATACAATGGAATATTGTTCAGCCTTGAAAAGAGGACATTCCAGCTCCTGCAATAATGATGAGCCCCGAGGACATGACCATGACGCTCAGTGAAACAGGCTGGTCGCCAGAGGACAAATGCTGTAGGATCCCACTTCCTGAGGTTCCCAGAGTTGTCAGATGTACACACAGAGGGGTGGTGGGTGCCAGGGGCTGGGGGAGGGGAACGGAGAGTTGTTTAGTGGGGACAGAGTTTCCGTTTTGCGAGATGAAAAGAGTTCTGAAGATGATGGTGGCAATGGCTGCACAATGTGAATGTATTTAAAAACTGGGAAAATAAATGATACAGGGTCAGAACACCCCGGGTCCTATAGAAGGTGCCACATTGGAGACCCCTCCGTCACTCCGTTGGTCCATCGTAGCCCAGTCGCAGGGTTGGAGCATCACTGCAGGGAGGGGAGGGGAGCTCTTACAGGCTCGTTATATAGAAAATACAGGCCTTGCCTTTTCCGACCCAGGCCCACACTGAGCATGGCAGGAAGGCACGTGGGAGGTGCCAGGGACCGAGGCCTTCTGCGGGGGTGGGGGGCTCGGGGGGCAGGTCCCACCCCACTCCCGAGCACTGAGCACCAACCGGTGGGGGCATGGCTGGCAGAGTCGCCTCTGCTGCTGAAATGTGTGCACACGCACAGGCGTGTCCCCGCACAGAAGTGTGTAATGAAGTGTGTGCACGAGACAGCTCTGCTGCGCTCAGATCTGCGTCCCTGGGGCCCGGGCCAGAGGGGCCCTCGGTGCACATTTGTTGACCTGAGCTGTGGCTTCATCGTGGAGCCATGCTGACTCCCATCCTTTAGCACTGCAGATCCGGGAGCTGGGACAGACTCGCTGGCACGTCAGAAACAACCGGAATGGTCTCCGTGGGCAGCGAGCGGAGTCAAGTGTGATATCGGCTAAGCAGTGACGCCCACCACCCAGGGGAGCTGGGGTGGGGGAAGAACAAGGACATGGCATGATGTTCACGGTTTATGGTTCTGTCTAAATATGTGCGCATTATGTGTGCAAACGTGCCTGTAATGTACATGTGCATACACGGGGTGGGGCAACAGTAGGGTTACAGTTGTTTGGATGGAACATAATACAATAATTAATAAATAATAATAGGAAAAAAATAATAGAAGAATAAACTGTTTTGTGTGGTCAGAACTGTAAACCTACTTAGCCCTCACCCTGTACATCCAGTGTGTGGACGGGGGGTTCCCCCAAACCAGCAGCAGCAGCACCAGGGACCGTTGGAAATGCACGTTCTCAGGCCTGAATCAGGAAATCTGGGGGTAAAGCCCTTGCGATCTGTGCTTTAACGAGCACCCCCCTTCCTCCCGGCTTCTGCTGCCTGCCAAGGGGGAGTCCCTGGCCTGGAGCATGCCCGACACCCCCTCCTCCCTTCGCACTCACCCGTGTCTCCTCTCCAGGCCCTGATCCAGCTGCCCCCCTACATCTCCCAGTGTGACGAGGTGCTGCAGTTCTTTGAGACGAGACCCGAGGACCTGAATCCCCCCAAAGAGTAAGTTGGCTTGTGGACCTGCCCGGAGCGTGCCCAGCCGGCCCCAGGCGGAACCGGAGGAGAGCAAAGGAAAAATCAAACTGCTCCTGTGCTTTGAGCCCCACGGGGCCTCACTTCGTGCAGCCTTCGTCGCACTCGGTGGGCAGTGACAGTCCGGGTTCACGGGGAGGAAGCCGGCTGCGGGCACCTGGGCCCCTAACTCCTCCCTCCCTTTCTGCCTCAGTTGCTTCATCTGTGCAATGAGGTCACGTCCCTGGCCCCACCCACATCATGGGGTGTTGGAGGCTGCAATGAGAGAATTGGGAATCTCTGAGCTTGGAGCTGACAACATGCGGACACCCCCACCCCGGCTGTCATGTTTGATAATTCCGCTTCCTGGCGGTGGAGTTTTATTCCGATCGTTTTCAGGAGAGTCCACGTCCTCACTTCCTACGTGGGAATAGCAGTAATGCGTACTTCACAGGGTCACAGTGCGGCTTGGGTATGTGTGTGTGAAGTCCTCGGCACGGGGCCGGCACATAGTAGGCACACAGCCAGCTTTCGCAGCTCCTGGGCCGTCGGGACAGCTCCTCCCTGGCACCCTGAGGGAGATGCGCTGCGTTCACTGCTATCCAGGCTGCTACCCGGTCTTAGCGTGTTCTGTGTGCCATTCACCACCGAGGCTTTCCCTCCACGTCTACGTCTCGGGGCCCGAGCCCTGGGGCGGGGCCTCTGTGCCTGGCCAGGTGGGCACCGGCTCAGCAAGGGGAGGCCTGGCTCCTGTTTTCAGACTGAGTCCCCTCCACCCATCAGCTCCTCCCGGGGCGCCGGAGCACTTCTCCAAGAAAGGGAGAAAATGAAGAGGAATCCTTTTTTTTTTTTTTTTAAGGAATCTGGGTCCCTGGGGCTGGCTTAACTGTTACCCATTGCCTGGAGATATTGTGAGATGGAGAATCTCAGTTTTCTAACAGACTAACTTATGTCAATGCACAACAGGTACTGACTCTCACTCTTTCCCACCCCCATTCTTTCCCGTACAGGGAGCATGTGGGGAAAAAGAAATCTGGTAAGAACATTTTCCATATTCTCCTATTCATTCCATGTTCACACTACTGAGCACCTGTGATGTGTGTGCCAGGCCCTGGGCTTCACACTGGGGATGTGGCCATATCGATGGACAGATGGATGGATGGATGAGTGGATGAATGGATGCTGGATGGATGAATGGATGTTAGATGGGTGGTTGGATACTTGATTGCTTGATTAATTATTTGATACCACATACTGTTCCCTCCCCCCCCCAAAAAAAATGATTGGATGGTGTTTCATCTTTTGGGTTTTTATTTATTTATTTATTTTTATTGATTTTAGACAGGAGAGAGAGAGAAACATTGATGTGAGAGAGAAATGTCGACTGGCTGTCTCCTACCCACCCCCTACTGGGGATTGAACCTATAACCCAGGCATCAAACCGGGACTCGAACCAGCGAACTTTTGGTGCATGGAACGATGCTCAATCAACTGAGCCACACCAGCCAGGGTGGCTTCATCTTATACAAAAAAAATTACAAAGTGGATGAGACCTATCTTTCCCAGAGAACACCTTGGAGGGGCAGGGGAGACAGCTTCTAATATTCTGTAGTGTGTTAACCGCCCCCACATCTGCACAGGCCCAGCCACACCACACCTGGGCCAGCGTGTTCTTCAGAGCTCCCAGAATCCTAAGTTATTTTATTTATCTGGGACTCCAGGAAGCTTGAGGAGGTTGATAAAAATGGGGGAAGGGCCCCTAACTGGATTGGCTCAGTGGATAGAGCGTCGGCCTGCGGACTGAGGGGTCCCAGGTTCGATTCTGGTCAAGGGCATGTGTCTTGATTGCGGGCACATCCCCAGTGGGGGGTGTGCAGGAGGCAGCTGATCGATGTTTCTAACTCTCTGTCCCTCTCCCTTCCTCTCTGTAAAAAATCATTAAAATATATTTTTTTTTAAAATGGGGGAAGGGGGCCCAGCAGAGGTCCTAGAAGTAAAAAAGGATGCCTCCTTCCATGGGCCTCAGTTTCCGCATCTGAAAAATGGGTTTAATAATAGTCATCTACCTAATAGGATTATCATGTTCTACTAACACATCTAAAGCACTCAGAACCGTGCCCGGCATGTGGTAGCTGGTACATGTTTGCTGCTGCCTTTATTCTGCTGCTGTTAATTCAGAGTCCGAGGGTGTCCTTCAGAGCAGCATCAGGAGCAGTTTCGACAGCTCTGGCCCCCGTGCAGGCCCGACGCCGTTCTTGCCCGGGAGAGTGGAGAGGGGGGTTCTCGTTGCCTCGAGGTCCCGCTGTGGCATGAACTCTGGCCTCTTCCCCCGCAGCCTGTTTACTGCTGCTGTCTGCCTTAATAGGTACTGGTCAGCCATGGCATCTGCTCCGGCTGCAAATAGCCCCAGAGCCTGAGGCTAATGACACGTTTCCTAGAAAAGAGTGGAGCGGCCGCTCTCGGGCGGGTCACAGAGTTTCTGGCTCCCAGTGTGCAGACCTTTCCTGGAAGGGTGGGAGGGCGGCAGAGAGGAGAGAGCGCTGGCCTGTGGAAACAGAAGTGTCCCGTCAGGCGGGCCTGATGAGGGGACTGGTCTGGAAGTCGGAGAAGAAGCTCTAATTTGCGGCAGCCGCTGCCACATCACCCACCTGCAGTGACGGGGCCGGGTTATTTATGGTCCCGACGGATAGGAAATAGCATCTCTCTTCCTTCAGATGAAGAGCCCATGCTGGACTCGGCCTTGTTTTCCGGCTGACCTCTGAACACGCCCTTTGTGTTAGACCCCGCCTTCTTGCTGCAATTTGAAGGGACTGAAGATTGACAGCCAAGCCCTGAGATTTCTGGGCCAGAACTGAGCTGGAGAAGGCTTATCCGTCTCCAGAATTTCCTGGGCCCTGGCTGGCTTGGCTGGCTCCTGCAGACTTTGGCTCATGTGGTCTCCAGTTCTGCTCATCCTGCAAAAAAAAAAAATCCTCCACCAACATGTAACAGGTCGTGTGATTATCTAAGGAGCATCTTTCTTCCTGATTTTTCTACCCTCTTCTTACTTATTTTATTTTTATTTTTTTGGTTAAACCTCACCCAAGGATATTTTTTCCATTGATTTTTAGAGAGAGTGGAAGGGAGGGGGAAAGACAGAGAGAAAGAAATATTGATGTGAGAGAGATATCAATTAGTTGTGTCCCACATGAGCCTGACCTGGGCTGGGGATCGAGCCTGCAGCCGAGGTACATGCCCTTGACCAGAATCGAACCCAGGATCCTTCAGTCCCCGGGCCAACGCTATCCACTGAGCCGAACCGGCTGGGGCTCTACCCTCTCCTTACTGAGGTATTCTGTCATTTACCGACACGGAGCAAGACTGGCAGTGTTATGTTGTAGTTCTGGAAAGTATTCTGCTCTGCTGCTTATTGCTCATTGTATTGGTTTGCTGGGGCGGCTTAGAGAGCAGAAACTTACTCTCTCACAGATGTGAAGGGTATGGTTGGGGTCTGGAGAGAGGCCTCTTGGCGTGTAGCCTGCTGCCTTCTCGCTGTGTCCTCACATGTAGAGACGGAGATCACGCTCCCTGGTCTCTTCCTACAAGGGCACAAACCCCAGCATGAGGTCATGACCTCATTTAACCTAATTACCTCCTGTACCATCACATAGTGGTTAGACCTTCAGCAGGTGGCTTTGGAGGGGTGCAGTTTTATCCACAGCAGTTATTTTTAAATTTCAAAACATGTCATCTTGAATCAAAGCATGGCCAACTAGGCCCAGCTGGCGTGGCTCAGTGGTTGAGTGTCAACCTAGGAACCAGGAGACCACAGTTCGATTCCCGGTCAGGGCACATGCCTGGGTTGCAGGCTCGATCCCCAGTGTGGGACGTGCAGGAGGCAGCCAATTGATGATTCTCTCTCATCATTGATGTTTCTCTCTCTCTCCCCCTCTCTGAAATCAATAAAAATATATTTAAAAACAAAACAAAATACGGCCAACTAGAAAATTCTGTGGTAGATTAGGCATCTGCCTCTTGAGAATATTTTATACCCTTCCTCCATGATAAAATCGCCCTTCCTCTGTGGAATCTCCTCCTTTCTGCTCACCTCTTCCTTCTCTCCTGTGTCCTGTGGGACCACAAGAATGACAACGCTTACCTAGGAATACTTGCTCTCACACTTGCAGCTCCTAGGACTTATGCCCTTACTGTGCGTTATAGAGCTTGGCTGCAGTATCACAGTCCACCAGCAGGTGTCTCTGCATAACACCTAAATGGCCTGGAGCCTAGTGTGAGAAGCTGGAATGTCAAATCCTGGTGCCTGGTTTTGATACGCTGAGCGCTGAGCGCTGTGGGTGAAATGCAGACAGCAGCTCTGGGAGAGCTGGTGTAGGAAAAGCAACCCCATGCACCCTCATCTGAGCCACTCATCGGCAGGGAACGACTCTCTTGTTCACAGTGAGTCCCGTAATTCCCCGATTTTGTCACTGCTTGTAGTTATGCCAGATCCCGTCGGCAGCCCGGTTAGGAGAGTTGGTGCAGAATGGAGAGTTTCTAGAAGTTTCCATTTGCCCTTTGTCCATTCACTTCACAAATGTCCATTGAATATGTCTGTGCTAAGTGCTGAGTGAACAAGATGGCCATGGTTATTCATTCCACTAGAGGCCCAGGGCACGAAATTCGTGCACCGGTGCGGTCCCTAGGCCTGGCCAGCGATCGAAGCGCGAGCGTCTGGTGTGGGAGGGCAGGTCCCAGCTGACCTCTGGGCCCAGGGCAGCACCTGGGCCCCCGCAACCCCCCACACACCTGCCTCCACCTGAGTCACGGTGCCCGAGTCCTCGCGCAGAGATGCAGTGAGCGCAGCTGGACACCGTGGGCCGGGGTGCAGCGTGGGCCTCTGGGCCGCCCAGCGGCGCCACAAGGAAGCCGGGCGGGCAGCGCGCTCTCTCCCGGCCGACCTTGCAGACCAGCTCCTGCACGAACCCATGGAGAGCCTGACCGGCCCCTGTGGTCCTGGCGGCTGTGGCTTGGCTCACCCGGAAGCCCATTGGGGCCAGGAGCACCTCCACTGCCGCCCGCTGCCAGTGCCTCATAGCCTAGGCCTGCCATGTTCCGCGCCACCCCCTGGTGGTCAGCACACGTCATAGTGAGCAGTTGAACTCCCATCCGAACTCTTCGTCGAGGGGACATTTTGCATATTAGACTTTTACTATATAGGATGTTTATTAAGCACCTACTGTGTGCCTGACGGTACTCTAGGTCCCCTGGGAATATGAAGGTGAACAAGATGTGGGAAGTTTTCTCCCACCTTATAGGAAAGAGAGCGGTGACCCTTCACCGGGCTAGCATGCCCTGCTCTGGTTTTCCACGTCAAGAATCCGCGGTGCCTGGCTCTAACAAAGGGCTTTTGTGCTGCTCTGGACGCCCGGGGCTGGAGCGCGGGGGCGTGCTGGGAACGACTTCACAAGCAGCTTTCTGTGGTCACCCCTGCTTTGTAGCATCTGCCAGCTCCGTGGTATAAACGCTCCCACCGTGGCCCGTTTCAAGCGACCAACAGGATGCCACCCGAGAGAGTCGGGAAGAGGAGCACGAAATCGGCTCGGTGTGAGCCAGCCCTCACGCCCCCTCCACTACTGGGAGTGTTTGGAACAGAACGTGGGGTTTCCTGGATGTTCCTGTTGTTTATGGAAACAACAGGAGGGAATGTTTTGAATCAGAATGTGCAGGCCATGAGGGTCCGGCGGCCACAAATGTCACGCTGCCCTCCCACCACGTCCAGCCTGCTGCTCTGAAAGTGCTGTCCCCTCCTCTCGGGAGCGTCTGCACCCGTCTGATCTTTTACATCCCTCGTATTCTGTGGCCTCTTTCCATTTATTTATCAGCTTGTCTTAGACCTTAACCAGGGCTGTCCATCCACACTGGACACTGCAGCCTGTGGAAATGGCCTCTCCTAGGGCCACCCCCCCTCTGCCCTGCCCTGGAACAAAGCTCTTGCCTAACAGCTCCGTGACCTCCATCTGGTCTCCTGCTTCTTTTGCTTTTTCCTTTTCCGTTTTTGTTAATCTTCACTCGAGGATATTTTTCCATTGATTTTTAGAGAGAGTAGAAGGGAGGGTGAGAGACAAAGAGACACATTGATTGGTTGCCTCCCACACATAGCCCTGGTTAGGGCCAGGGATCGAGCCTACAACCAAGGTATGTACCCTTGACCGGAATTGAACCCGGGACCCTTCAGTCCATAGGCCGATGCTCTACCCACGGAGCCACACCGGAGAGAGCTGGTCTGCTTTCTTCTTTGCCAGCCTCTAATCCATTCTCCATGAGGCAGCCAGAGTGATCCTTTTAAAGATGTAGATCTTCACGTGTTACTCCCTTCTTAAAATCCCTTTGGCGGTTCTACTTCAGGGGTTAAAAAAAAAAAGTGGTTTGAAGTCCTCACTTCTGAGCGTCAGCCACCCTGGCCTCCCTCCCGGTCCTGGAAGGCTCCAGGCCTCCTCCCACCTCCCGGTCGGCCTGCACCGTTCTTTCCCCATTGTCCTCCTGACTCTGCTTTGTTGCTTCCCGGGGAGGTCTTGCTGACCATTCCATTAACGTAGCATCCCCCTCTTGTTTTTTCTGTGTTTCCAGAAATGCATGTATCCAAAACGAATACTTTCTCCTCTATGCTTATGGATCACATGTACTGAATATGTGTCTCTCGCCCCAACTAGGATGCTGGGAGTCATATCTGTTTCACCCACTTTAACACCCCCAAACAGCACCTAATAGAGTGTCTGGAATATCATTGGTGGTTTCATGTATTAATAAATGAGTAAATGTGGATGGCTTACTGGTTGGTGAATGTATGGGTAAATGAGTGGGTGGATGATCGATGGATACATGTTTGGTTGGATGAATGACGGATGGGTGAATAGTGGCTGATGCTGGATGGGTAGCTATGAATGAATGAACTTTCACACTAGGCTGTCTGCTTCTTCAGGGCAAGTACCATATCTTACTCTGAACCTACAGTGCCTGCACAGGACTAGTACATTGTGGTGGTTGAGTGAGCAAATGAATAAAAGAATGAATGGATGAGACAAGTCCTCTAGCAGCAGCTCTCTCTATTTAGAGTGCCCTCCTGACCCCCCCTCCTCCCCGGCTCCTGCTCCTTTACACCGAGCGGTGGCCAGAGGTGACAGCTGATGGTGTTTTCCATCCACAGGGAGCGACCCGACCTCGGTGGACCCCATGGTCCTGGAGCAGTACGTGGTGGTGGCCAACTACCAGAAGCAGGAGAGCTCGGAGATCAGCCTCAGCGTGGGCCAGGTGGTGGACATCATCGAGAAGAATGAGTCAGGTGGGCGCCCAGACCACCTCCTTCCCCTCCCAACACTCTCACCAAGCCCCTCGGTCAGGAACACGGGGAAGCGCAGCAACGGCCGTCGCCGATCGGGCTGGCCCGTTTCCGCAGGTCCGGCGGATGACCCCTGTTTGGTCCGAGTGCTCAGATCTCCTGTTTGGTCCCAACCCACCAAAGTCCTGTTGGGTCAGATGTTACCGATTGGCTTTGAGGTTCACATTTCATGAACATTCTCCTGGCTTAGAGCACCTGGAGACACAGAGTCTAGCATTCCCCTGAGAATTTGCCCTGTTGATTTTCTTTGATGACTCTGGGCGTCTCCACCAAGGCTCCATCAGCCGTGGGCTCTGGTGTGGACTGGACACACCGCCTGTCTCCCCCGTGCACCTGCCCCTCGCAGCGACCACTAGTCATGTGCACTGGCCAGGTCTGGGACAGATGGGGTACGATCGAGACGCTTGGCCGGGGCCTCCATCTGAAGTCTGCGTTTCACAGCAGTCCAGGTGGCTGCTTCCCTCTCACCACCAATTCTCTCATCTGTAAAGAGAAAAATGAGATAGTATATGGAGAGTGTCTGAGCCTGTGTTGGGCACACAGTAGGTACTTAAAAATGTGAGCTTCCTTCCCTTTTGCCTCCCTTAGCCACAAAGCAGCCATTGGCGCCGTTAAAAGCAAAGAGTGGGGAGCAGGAGGCGAGTGGATCCCCTCTAGGAAAAAGTGACATAAATCTACTGGCTTTGTTGTGACTAAAATGTGACATTGGCTATAATATCAACATCAGACCAGTCCCTGTGATACCCCGATGGCTAGTTAAAGTCCAAAAAATAATGGAAAGGCTCTGCTCCGAGCAGCATGTGGATTCCATTCCCATTCGCCATGAGGTCCGGGTTAGCCAACCAAAAGTTCTTAATTATTCAACCTCGCGATTGTTACCCCTGCCTCACAGCTGGAGGGACAGAGTCCAAGTGACTTGGTCGCTCACCCAAAACCTCCCAACAGGATTCGGAGCTGGAATTCCCATCCAGTGCCAGCTGGCCACAGGCCGTGTGGCTCTCTCGTTCCTGGGAATGAGTTTATGCAGATTATCGGGGTGGCTGGGGTGCTCCTGAGGACCAAGGAACAGCGCACCCACTCCCCCGGCCACCTGCTTGAGTGAAGTCAGAACAAAGGCATCGCAGGAGAAGAGTGGGGGCCGGGATGGGGTTGGAGACAAGCCGGATGTGTCCAGAGGGCAGCGGAGGGGGGAAAGGCAGGTAGTCAAATCTTCAAGTAAAATTTATTATCCAAGTAGTACATGGATACATTCTTCTTGAAGCATTCATGATAAAGTGAGTCTGTTTTTCCCACCAGCTTCGAACCCCAGATAGCCCTTCTATCGGGTTGGTATGAATTCTTCCATGATAATTGTATGCACACAGCACGCATATATGTGTGTGTGCATGTGTGCATGCGTAAGGTCACACCTTCGCCATATTGCGTGTGTGGTTCTACACCCCCGCAGTAAAGCAAATACCTCAAATATCACAGTAAAGCGAATCGCACAAATTGGTTTCCCAAGGCATGTGAAAGTTACGTTTACATTATAGTCAATAGATAACATTATGCCTTAAGAATGTACACACCTGCCGAACCGGTTTGGCTCAGCGGATAGAGCGTCGGCCTGCGGACTGAAGGGTCCCGGGTTCGATTCCGGTCAAGGGCATGTACCTGGGTTGCGGGCACATCCCCAGTGGGGGGTGTGCAGGAGGCAGCTGATCGATCTCTCTCATCGATGTTTCTAACTCTCTGTCCCTCTCCCTTCTTCTCTATAAAAAATCAATAAAATATTTTTTAAAAAATGTACACACCTCAATTTAAAAATAATCTATTGCTAAAAAATGCTAACCATCACCTGAGCCTTCAGCGAGCACGTAATATTTTTGCTGGTGGAGGGTCTTCCCCTTCAATTTGTAAAAAAAATGCACTGTCTGCAAAGTGCAGTAAAGTGAAGCGTACGGCAAGGTGTGCCTCTGTGTGTGTGAGTGTGTAAGTGGCAGCCCTTCCTCCATCCTCCCAGCCAGCAGTCTGGTGCCTCTTCCGTAGCCACGGCTCCCCCTGCCTCCTCTGCCTCCCTCTTCCATAGTTCCCGGCCCTGGCGATGACATGGGCCACCCAGATATTCCAGGACCGTCTCCCTGTTTGAAGGTCATCTGATTAGCAACCTTAATCCCCTCTGCAACCTTTCACATAGTCACAGGTTCTGGGGATTATGTGGGTTATCCGGTGGGTCATTATTCCGCCCACCACTAGCTCCCTGAGACTTTTCTCTGAAGAGGGAGGGCCTGGGTCTGGGTGAGCGGCCTCTCAGGTAGTTACACCTGCAGCCACTTGACCTTGACATGAACAGATGCACAGCCCGGAGAGTTACGAGGGCAGTGGCTTCAGCATCAGACAGCCCTGCCGTAGCCGTGAGGACTTGGGCAGGTCTGTTCGCCTCTTGGAGCCTCGGTTTCCTGCTCTGAGCAGTGAGGACGATCACGTGAAGATGCTGAAAGGCGATGCAACTACAGTGACTCGTACCGGACACACCTAGTGAAGGACTCTCGCCATTCAGCACGGCCTTGCCCTCCCCGTCCCTCCCCAGCAGTCAGTTGACACGGCTCGCTGTGTTCCACCAATAGGAAGGCGCCTGTCGGCCTTAGCCTGAGTGTGACGCACTCGGTGCCTGAATGTGTCATTCTACTCTGGCACCCAGACCTCACAGCTGACCCGCTAACATCCGTCTGCTCTCGTCTTCCCAGGTTGGTGGTTCGTCAGCACCGCTGAAGAGCAAGGCTGGGTGCCCGCCACCTGCCTCGAAGGGCAGGACGCTGGGCAGGACGAGTTTTCCCTGGAGCCGGAGGAAGGTAAGCGGGAGCTCGAGCCTCGCACCCGCGGGGGAGCCCTGTGCTGGCCGTCACCACGTGGGGGCCTCCACCCCCAGAACCTTCTCTTCACGTCTGCCTCCGAGAGGGCATGAAGCCAGGCATGGGGTCGGGGTTGATGGGCAAGCCCGCCCTTCCTCAGGGGCCTTAGGGAGCTGGGCCCTGACCCCTCCCTGGAATGATCCTGGCAGCCAAGGTCCTCGGGCTGCTTCCAGCTCATTTGCAGGCCATCTGAGGCCATGTGCAAAGGGCTCTGCTTTCTCCGCTGGCATAACAGCCCTGACTGGGCGTCAGGAGTAGGGCTGACCCCCTTCACTCACACACACACACACACACACACACACACGCTTCCATTTCCCGGAGAACTTTCCCCACGGGTGTCCCGAAGCGTGGCTCCTGCCATGTCAGAAATGCTGAGGCCCCCTGACTCCCTTCCCCGGCAAAGCATTTCTAAAACGAGAGGATGCATGCATCTTAGCTGATAAACAGAGGATGGGAGGGTCAGACAGACCGGAATTCGAACCTCAGCCGCTCCACTTACTGACTGAGGGGACTGGGCCAGCAACTTAACCTCTGCCGCTCAACCACCTCCTCCAAAAACGGAAGTGATGTCCCCGTCATGAGGTTTTCTTTTTTATTATCAAGTGAGACCCATATGCAAAGCCCTTGACAAAGATCCTCAACCAATAATAAAAAACGAGGACCCGTTGTTATCATATAGCTATGCCTTGCCTTAGGGCCGAACACTTGGGCTTAGTTGACTTAGAGGAAGCGCAAAGCCTCTTAAGCGTACACTTGTCAGAACGCAGGGTGAGGAGAAGCGGCATATTTCTGTGCTCAAAGGTGAGCAACAAGAATTACATGTAGCAACAACAGCCCACAGCCCTCAGAGTAAAATTAAAGGGTTCTGTTGGATTGCCCTGTGTGTGTGGGCCCGGGAGGCTAACCTGGGAACACTGCAGAATCAGCTCAGGGTCGGGGGCAGTGGTGCACTGCGTGGAAATTCCAGCTCCCCTACACAGTTAATGACGGCCACGCGGCGTGCCTCTGCAAGGGGCTGGTCGTTACCCCATTTCACAGATGGAAAAACAGGCTCAGAAAGGTGGAAACGCCTGCCTGGGGTCACACAGCTAGTAAGAGGGAGAGAGAGACCACATTTTCCCAAGGATTTGTACCTTGTTCTTCCCTCTGCCATAAGGACCTCTCTTAGGCCTCACTGTAATCATGCCAGGGATAGAATTATGTCTACTGGGCACCTCTTCGCTCAGCTTTAGGGTTAATACTCAGGACCTGGGGCCTTTGGCAACACCTGGGCTTGGCGTCGACTCAGAAATAAGTGTTCTTAAATGGGAAGGCGTGCTTGGTGCCCGTTTTGCCTGGAGATACTGGGAGTGCTGTCTTCTCACCTCTGCCTTCTGCCCTTCACCTCCACATGCTGCCTGTCCAGTCTCGTGGAGGTACTGGTCTTTGCCCCGGCCCATGGGCCGCCGCCGGACCCTGGGGGACTTGTATGCCATCAGCTGGCGTCAAGGTTGTCTGCCTCAGTGTTTTCTTCCCCATTCGGGGTGGGAGCTGGGTCCTTGCGTCTGCATGCGCCTCCTGCCCTGGGCGGCCTGTGCCTGCTGCATGTGAGAAAGGGATCGTGTCTGTGCCGTGCGTGTGTTGGCATGCAGGTTTGGGAGGAGGGAGCCTGGGGCTTAAAGTTTCCCGGGTTAAGAAATGATGTCTGGGGGCTTCTAGGATGCTGAGCCGGCGACCTGTTCCTTTCCTCAGGCACATTTGAGTGCAAGGAAAAGAAACCCACGTCACACTGGCTTAAACTAAAAGGAAAGTATAACTGACTCGTCGCTGAAAAGCCCAGGGTAGGGCTAGCTTCAGGCATGGCTGGATCCAGGGGCTGGAAAACATCCTGGGGTCCCAAGACTCACTCTTACCACCTCTCTGCTCTGCTCTCTACCTGGCTGGAGCCATTCTCTCACGGCGAGCGTAGTTCCAGGCACCCTCCAGGGACACTCACCGAAGAAGGTGCTTCTCCTTCAATACAAATCCCAGGAAGGGTTCCAACTGGCCCACGTGGGTCATACACCGTCCTTGTGTCAGTCACGGTGGTCAGGGGATGCCAGGGTCACCCCCTCCCCTCCCTCCAGGAGGTGGTGAAGTCAGCTCACCCAAGCCCTGTGGATGGAGTTGGTAGGAAGGGTGGGTGGGCGCTTAGCAGCAGTGCCACCGGGCGCCACCATTCAGTCTCCAAGGTCTACCTTAAGCTTTGTCAGGGCTCATGAGTGTCCCGTGGGGCCCACGGAGGCTCTGGGTGCTAGAGAACCCCCGTGTGCGAGTCAGCTCACTCTGGGTGCCGGCCCCTGGAGTCCAGGGCCCGCGGGACTCACTGCACTGAGTCTGGGACCCACCCAAGCAGGAGGTCTGTGCACGGACAGGGTCGAATTACCCCGCCCCCACCCGCAGCCGCCCGGAGCGAGGGGAACAGCTGACTGCTGCGCACAGGATATGTGCAACTCGAGTCAGCTCAGCCCCCGGAGCAGGTCAGTGGGCCAGATCAATAAATAAATAAACGCCCTGTGTGTCTTCCACCTCCCTCTACACCAGCTGGGCAGGCCCCGGGCAGACCACGGTGTTTTCCCAAAGGCAGAGTCAGCGCCCCACGCTAACCATCCCCACCAGCCCACAGCTGGCTCGCCACTCCCCGGGGGCCGGGATGTAACCAAGACCGGAAAGCCCTCTCCTCGGGGCTCCCCTGGCGCTCAGCTGTCGCCTGGCTCAGCAGCCATCTGAGCCGTGGCCGTGGCCCACAGTGTTGGGGACGGAAGCTATTCTCCTCCTCTCTGGAGGGCCTGCCCGAGTGTGACAAAAGCAACTCTTGCAGCAGAGGGGGAGGGGCAGGAGGAGGGGAGGGGAGGTGGGGCCCCAAGGATGGTCCCTTGCTTTCGGGGAGGGAGCGGGAAACCAGAGAGTGGGTGGAAGGCGCCCCAGCCATAGTAATGAAAGTTGAAGCAGGCAGTCATTTCTCAAGATATGTGTGTCCGTAGGTATAGATCTGATCATTGTGATGTACACCTGAAACTAACAGTGTTAGATGTCGGTTATATCTTAATAAAAATATTAATTTAAAAAGTGAGATTGAACTTCAGGCATGGTCGGTTCCGGAGGCTGAACAGAATGAATGGGAAATGAAGATCAGTTCCCGGCTTGGTAATGAAAATGACTAGCCGTCTCCTTGGTGGTGATCTCAGCCTGAGATCAGGAGCTGCCAGATCGGCTCACCCCTGACCCTTCGCGGTGAGAACTGCGGAGGAGCCACAGGCGGTTTGACCCCCTCTGACGTGAGCAGGTGGCTTCCGCCAGGCCTCCGGGACCCGTCCACCTACTGACCAGTTACTAAGTGTTCCTGGTGTCAGACTCAGTGTTGGGAGACAGAGGAATGAACAAGACAGACACACGATCACCGCCTTCAAGGGCATTCGTATACTAGCAGGGCAGACAGACCCAAAACACAATAAAGAAGTAAGTTTATGGTGTGTTAGAACGGAATTCCTTGTATGGGGGCAAGCAGACCTGGGCAAGAGGGAAGAGGATGCAGTGGGTCTGAATATTGCATGAGGCAAGGTCATGGAAGGTGACCTTGAAACGCAGATTTGAAGAAGACCAGAGGCATGTGTGACGCTAAGGGATTTGGACCTGCCTTGGTCCTGGGTCCTGTTGCTGCATGTGCAGGGTCATCTGGGGCTAAGTGAGGGCCTGGGGGGTGCACAGTAATCTCTGGAGGAAATCTTTCCCCCTGATGGGCAAGGACATCTCACGGATCACAGCCTTGACCTTCAGTGTCCTTGACTTACCCCATCATCCCTTTGTCCCCGCAGAGGAGAAGTACTCAGTCATCTACCCGTACACGGCGCGTGACCAGGATGAAATGAACCTGGAGAGAGGGGCCGTGGTGGAGGTCATTCAGAAAAACCTAGAAGGCTGGTGGAAGATCAGGTACCCGCTGCGGCTGGGTGGGCTTCAGGTCACGTGGGCTCCAGCTGCACAGAGGTCTGGGAGCCAGTGCAGATGGGGTGAGGTTTTGGCCTGAGCCATGAAAGGATGTTTCTCTTCTGTGCTGTTTGGCTTCCCTCCCTCCTCAGATCCTTCTCTAAAAACTCATCATAAGCAAAACGTTCTCCAAATAGAACGAACCGCAGATAGCAATAGCCCTGTTGAGCAAGACCGGTCTCCACCTCCAGATGTTCCTCTTCACAAGTAACTGGAGGCTGAGCCGCCGTGTGTGGGATTTCCCCTGCAGCCCCACCCTGCGCACAACCCCACACGGACGGAAACTCATCCTAGAGCCCATCGTTGGCCCTCGTCTCTGAGTCCAGGATGGGAGGCATTTCAGACACGTCGTCCCAGCTCCTTCGCCTGTGTGATGACGTCAGAACCCATGGGCAGGGAGAGTGGCCAGCTCGTGCTGAGCTGCCTGGTACTTTCCCGGGTTTAGTAATGAGTCCTGGGAACCCCCTCCTTGCTCACCCTAGAAGCCAGGCTGTGACCACAGGAAATGTGGGCCAGAGAGGAAGCCTGAGGTCCCTGTGACCCCGCGTCTGTGCTGGGATGTGAGGCGGGACATTAGGGGTGCTCAGGTGGGGCTGAGTGTGGGGCACTTTATTCATTCATTCCACGAACACACACCAAGAATCTGGGCCAAGCACCGTTCTGGGCGTTGGGGAGTCGGCAGTGAGAACGACACTGTACTTCCCACCGCCGGGCGAGGGGGGGTGGGGGGGACAGACGCATATGTAGGCGCAGGCCAGGGTGGTGCAGGTGTGCTGGAGAGACGCACGGGGGAGTGTGGAGCACAGAGCAGGGGCTTCCTGGGGGAGGGGAACTGAGGTCTGGGGCAGTAATGGCAGCGGTACGGAACATCTTGAGTGTATATGCGCTCTTACTGCATGACAAATCGTCCCGAAACCCGCTGGCTCTGGAATTCAGGGATGGCTTACTGGCTCCAGGTCCTTCCTGAGGCTGCAGCAGGATGCCAGCGAGAGCTGCGGTCATCTGAAAGTTTCACCGAAGCTAGAAAGGGCCAGAGTCGGAATTTGAACCCGTACCTCCCTCACCCCAGAGCCCATTTGCTACTGCATGTGTTGCCTCTCCGCTTGTGGCCTGGTGCCCTCAAATGAACTGTCTCGTGCTGAGGCTGAGGACTGTATGTAGCGTGACATTTTCCAGCTCAGACAGGATTTATTCCTGCTCAAAGGGTAGGGATTTTAAAATTGGCGGGCACCCAGCTCTGCAGGTTTCTGTGTCCTTACAAATGTGCTTTCAGTTATAAAGGACCTTTTTTCATTGAAACACAGTTCTGTTTCGTTCTTACAGTAATTTTGTCGTTGTTGTTAATCCTCACCTGCGGATATTTTTTCATTGATTTTTTAGAGAGATTGGAAGGGAGAGGGAGAGACAGAAACATCGATGTGAAAGAGACACATCAATTGGTTGCCTCCTGCATGCACTCTGACCAGGGCCATGAAACCTGCAACCAAGGTTCGTGCCCTTGACCGGAATCGAACCTGGGACCCTTCAGTCTGCAGGCTGACAGTCTATCCACTGAGCCATACTGGCTAGGGCCTTACTGTAATTCTTTTTTTTTTTTAATAGTAATTCTTGATAAGATACTTGGCCCTGTCATCTATCATTGCTGGTCAGTTAGGTGTGTTAATTCCCCCAAAGGTGTGAGCATCTAATTTCCACTGACCAGACCAGTGCGTGCAGGGAGATGTTTAACAATCGGCTTTCCAAGGGGAAAATGCTCTTGAGCTGTATGCTAATTTCCGTAGTGTAAATACTCCCACCATGGTCCGTTTCAAGCACCCAGTGTGTCACTGAACGTGGAGTTCAGAGGAGGCGGGCACAGGTGACCGTGTGGTCCAGACCAACCCCTTGGGTCCTGCCATTAAACTGAGTTCCACGCAGAGAATCAAGTGATTCTAAAGAGAATTCCATGAGCTGGTCTGTCAGGGTCTCCATCACTCCGCAGTCCAGTGACACCCAGCCGACCCCTGGTGACCCGGAACCAGCCCCCACTTGCTTCATCCCCCTGGGAATGCAGGAATGCATGTGTACCCGGCGGGAACAGAGCCCGCCCTCCCTGTGCCCGGAGCTGGAGCTGCTGGAAGAGGCAGCAGAGCATGGAAGTTAGGGGCACAGCCAGGTGCCGGCCGCCCGGGTCTGAGAGCCTGTCGGCCACCTCCCAGCATCGGATGGATGAGATCCATCAACAGCTCTAAAGTACATAGAACAGGACAGTGAGTGCCCTCTGAGTACCGATTATCATTATCATTATTGTTGTCACCGCAGCGATGGCTGTGCGGGGACGGCCACTATAGTGGAGGCCACTTCCCCTTGCCAAGCCCATTTGCGGTTTTTCCTTCTATTTATTCACCTCACTGGCACTGAGACCCTGGGCACACAGAGGTGGATCCAACATGGCCCTGCCCAGAGCTCGCGTTCTAACTGGGAGGCAGACCAAGTGCAGTTGTGTTATAGGCATTGGGATTGTGGTCTGTGCAGGCCGCTGGGCAGCGTGGAGGGAGGGAGGGCTTCGTTCTCCGTGAGGCTGAGGGAAGGCTTGGGAGAGGACATGGTGTGAAGCAGAGCTGGGAGAGAGGAGCAGGAGGGGCGGGGGAAGGGGCTTTGCAGGCAGAGGGTCTCCAAGAGTGGGGGCACGGAGGTTGAAAGCGCTCATTTGGGGGGCTGCAGGCCGAGTAGGGTGGGTAGGACATG